CGTTTCCTATCAAGTAAAAGGCAGTCTTCACACTGAGCATAGTAACATTGTTTATGTGATACACAATGTAACTACTCTTTGCCTAAAAAGAGCAAAGAAATGGACCTAAAGAAATAAACCCACAATGAGGATTGCCAAGGGTTGAGACAGGTTGCCCAGAGAGGCTGTAGAATTGGCATCCTTGGATATATACAGACTTTCTTTGAGTGAAGCCCTGAGCAATCTGAATTAACCTTAATGTTAGACCTGATTTGAGCAGAGCCACTGGACAAGATGCCAATTAGTGTATGGTTCTATTCTAGATAATGTTCTACTTGATTGGGAATTTCATTGGAAATAAGAGGTCCCAAAGTGGTTATATGTCATCTCTTCTTCACACCTGAGTAACTATGCAGTAAATTCAAGTAAGTTGCCTGCAGTTCGCGGGAGGTTGATTTTCCTCTCTGTTCAGCACTGACGAGTTGACACATGGAGTGCTATGGCCAGTTTTGGGCTTCTCAGAACAAGAAAAATGTGAAGTGAGTCCAGCCCAAGGGCCATAAAGATGGTTAAGGGACTGGAACATTGCTCATTTGAGGAGAGGCTGAGAGTTTGGGGACTGCTCAGCTGGGAAGAAAAAGGCTCAAGGGGATCTTATCAGCATGTATAAATACTCAGTGGAAGGGAATGTAGATAAGAAAGTCAAACTGCTCTCAGAGGTGTCCAGTGACAGGACAAAAGGTAATGGGCACAAACTGAAACACATGAAATTCCATCTGATAAAAAGAAAACTTTTTTTTTTTTTTACTGTGAAAGTGATCAAAATGGGAACAGATTACTCAGAGAATGGGTACAACCCCATCTGTGAAGATAATCAAAACCCACTGGATACAGTCCTAGACAACCTGCTTTAGCTGACCCTGCTTGAGCAGACAGGTTGAATTAGATGATCTCAGGAGATGACTTCCAACCTAAACAATTTGGTGAAGTTTTCAAGTTTTTAAAAGTTGTAGAATGGCATTTTCATCAAATGTCTAGAGGCTCAGTTCCCTCTAAATATCATTCAGATTGCTACATAATTTCTATTAAGAGAAGCAGGGATTTGTTTTCCATTAATTTCCTAGTTCAGATGTGTCCCCATAATTCTTCATCTACAAAATACAAGTAACTCTTAGGATAACTGGAGGGTAGTTGGAGACTTGCCTAGAAACAGACTCCAGTGTAGCTCTGTAGGGATGTAGCATTGTACTAATGTAGATCTACTTGCAGAATTAGAATTATTCACTCATTTCAAATGTTACTGAGAATTTGAATATTGACCAGTGTTTATTTTCTCTCTGGAATTTACTTGGGAACTGATGTCAAACATTGGTATTTTTCAAAAATGTTGGAACTGCTTTAATGAAATGCTTGGAGTTCACATATTCTTGTGTGTCCTGGCTGTTCCTTTAAAAAGATACATTTAATTCTTATTAAATGTAAATAATTACTCTGTCACACATGTACATAATTACTCACGTTAATGAGGATGATCCAGTAGTTCTTTAGGGATTTCAAGAAACTACTCCTCAATGTTGATAATGCTTAGAAAGCAGTCTTTATTTTCTATTTGTTAGACAAATTCATATACGTAAAAAAGGACTTGTTTTAAAAAAAAAGTAAGCACTGTGTTAGAGGACACTCTTGGAACTGCTGAGTATAAGTCAGTTGATGAGAAAGTCAAAAGTTTGAGAAACACAAAAAAATGAGAGCAGCTGTATTTTTATCACTCATTTGAGGGCTGTAATCACCCTCTCTGTCATACCATGTTTCCTGTCACCAATACATGATATATATTTACTCTTATGAGCTAAGTTCATTTTCTTGATTCTGTTTCTTTCATAATATGAAAATGACTGCCTTGTTTGACTCCTCTGTTACCTTTTAACTGCTATAAGTGGATCAAAATTCTCATATCACTTATATGGACCTGTATTTTTAAATAAACCTGTTGTATGAAATGCTAGGAGTTAACTACCTTTGAAATTATAATTAATTCATAAGCATTTATTAAAATAATTTTCTTCCTTATGATATAAAGTGGGAGTAAGTATTTAAGGATCTAGTTTCCTCTGATAATGAAATGAGAGCTTCTTTGCTGCTTCTTGTTTGCTCTTTATGTTGTGGTCTTGAAAGGTGCTGAAAGCCTCAAGTTTCATCACCTTCAGTCAGCATCTCATAAATACACTTAGTACCAGCAGGACTGAGTGGAGAGATGAGGCAAGAATTTGTCATCTACACTGTCACCTGGCATGGGACTGGTTGCCCTTAAAAGAACTTCAGTATGGTTTGTAGGAACGTGTACCAGTTGTGTATGTTTGCAAGTACTGCAATAATCACAACTGCTATGTGATTACTACTGTGTGGGCTACACAGTATAATAAATGATATAACTGAGTTTTTGATGTGCTTGAATCGAACACTGTGCATCCATTACTGTGTAAACGTGAGCCTAGCTGACTAATTTGTTTAGAAAATGTTGGTTTCTTTTTTTTCAAGTGAGACACTTAAAGTATGATTTGAAATCCCACTCAGAAACCAGTTTATTTTTAAAACAAGTCTTACCAGATGCAGTCATTTTGAAACAGCCAGGAAAGCATTAGCAGTTGCTTGTTTTAAATGCATGTATGTAAGTTTAATAATGCTGTATCATACTTAGCCTACATTCGAGCAGGGCCACTCTCACACTCATTCTGAAAAATGTCAACTTCTGGTAAACTGACAGAATGTGACTAATTAAAATATTCCCATGAGATGTATATAGTCTATGTTATCTATTTCTCTGCTTCATGTTTAGTTTAGAGTTCTATGTCGTTTAGCCTTTGGCTCATTAATGTGTGCTTTATGGTATAATAATGCAAACAACAGTTAACAAGAGAAGGCCAAAACCATCAAAACACAACTCTTTGTTAAACTGTTACTGTATCCTGGGATGCATTAGGCACAGCATCACCAGCTGGTCAAGGGAGGTGATTGTCCTGCTCTGCTCTGCTCTGCACTGGGGCAGCCTCACCTTGAGTGCAGGGGGCAGTTTTGGGCACCACAATATCAGAAAGATATTAAACTATTAGAGAGTGTCCAAGGGAGGGCAACAAAGATGGTGAAAGGCCTTGAGGGGAAACTGTCTAGGCTCCCCAGGGAAGTGGTCACAGCACCAAGCCTGACGGAGTTCGAGAAGTGTTTGGACAACGATCTCGGGCACATGGTGGGATTCTTGGAGTGTTCTGTGCAGGGCCAGGAGTTGGACTTGATGATCCTTGTGGGTCCCTTCCAGCTCAGCATAATCTGTGATTCTATGCTGCTTCAAAAGATTTTTATCTTTATAAACTTCTGTTCGCGTTGTGAAGAAAGAAGCTTATACAAGATAAATATTTTAGCAGCAAAAATTATGTATGTCCTGTTGAATTACTCTGTGTCTAGTTTATCATGTATTCATCATTGCACTGTAACTTTAATGGTAACAGTTTTTAATGCATCTGACTCAGACTGCTAATTGATTTGATGCACATGGAGATCTCTTGGATGGTAAATATTCCAGAGGTAAGAATGGATGGCAGGAACAGGCCAAAATTATTAAAGCCTTCTCCTGTTGCAGCACTTAGCGAAGGATGAAAGGGAGAGTGCATTGGAGGGCCAATGCAAAGTGAGTATTTATCTGAAAATGTAGAATGGAAAAGCAAATACCTAACATAGTCACAGGTAAAGTGGTGGCATTGCAGATGATATAGAAAATGCCTCCTTAGGTTTTTGTCATTATTGTTAAAAGCAGCGAAGAAGAAATTTTCCAGAAATAGTGCAATTGAAAAATGAAGGCCACTTGAGTTTTCTGAATAATTACTTGGTAATAATATGGCGCATTTCTTAGAACAGAGGAGCAAAAAGCAGATGCCCTGAACCGTGGAGACAGCTTTCACTCGTGCTTAGCCGTTCTCTGGCTAGTTGGTCCCGGTTCGAGGAAAACACATGTATGTTCACAGGATTTGGGTAACTTAGTCCAGTGTTTATCATTTGCATTTGCGGGCTGGAGAAAATGAGTTTAACTTTCCCTCTTCCAGGGCAGAAGCTGAAGTTATTTTGAAGAAGCGGTGGCGGGGCCGCAGCGGGGCCCGGGAGGCGGGCTGGGCTCCGCTCCTGCTCTCACCTCGCCCGGCAGCGCCGCCGCCCCACTCCCCCCGCTCCCCTCGGGAGCTCCCCCGGCGCGGGGCTCCGGCCGCCGCCGCCCGGAGGGCGCTGCGTGGCTCGGCCGGGGAGCAGCGCCTGCGCGCCCGTCCCGCCCGCCCCGGGACCGGCCGCGGCAGCCGGCGGGGAGGAGGGAGCGCCCGGAGCGGGGGG